CCCAATTTTTATCTAGTCGCTTCCCCGTGAAAGAATGTCTGGGGACAACAGTCCAAGTACTGCAACCCCTGTTCCACTCGTGCCTAGGTTAAGAGAACAGCGATGGCAATGCCCTGACACCTGAAATAATATTCACAGATAGGCAAGAATTTAACATGTCTAGAATTTCACAGCAGGGATCAAGAGGCGGTCCCTATGCTCACCAAGTAATACCATTAGTCAAGGCAGAGGCTCTCTTACTTCCCCTGCAAAGCTGTTATCCCCTATGACAGAATTACAAACAGTCTCTAATTCACAAAGTTGCTGAGGGGTTGGCCACACCATAAATGCGCAGTGTTTTTCAATGGCATGCTACTGGCCTTTTGGGCAGGACAGTTCCCTGTTGGAGGGGACTGTCCTCCACTCTGCTGAATGTCTTGCATCCCTGATAACATTGGTGGCCACCCCAGTCACTGTGCTTACCAGAAATGCACCCCCCAATATTTCCAGTCACCCAGTTACCCTTAAGGGAGGTGAGTGCTGCTGGTTCCTGGACCGATGGGGACACACACACACACGCATTTAAAAATCCATACTGCTACTGCGCATTATCATATTACGTCATGGGTTCTATACGTATGTATCACAGGAGAGATAGAGAAATAGAAGCAAAATGTGGAGCGAGGAACAAACATTCTGTCAAATGCCAACTGTGAGCGAGACAGCCGTGCCCTGCTTTCACAAGCGCAGCAGATTTGGACACAGACTCAGCTCAGCTGATTACAAAGACAGGGTGTCTCTACTGTTAGTGATAACTGATGTCTTTGCTTGTTTGAGGTTCCTGGGACTCGGTGACAGGGAAACCAGGACAGAAAACCTACAATCCCCAATTAACAGCATTTCCACTCCTTCAGATGCGTGTGGTCCTAATAATGAGTTTTGTACTCTAATTCTATTATGAAAATAAGGCTTCCTTCTCTTAGCGTGGTCTTTCTCTTAAAACTCCTCCAAGTCCAGCTTCTCTGTGCTCATGGTCCCCTGGGCCCAAGGCCAGGAGAGGACCTTACTTCCCCTGGGGATGGGGACAGGAATCTCCTTGAGGGCAAAAGAAGTAAATCATCATTTCAAGCTATTGCCACCACAGTTTCTTCATGTCATCATTTGACACCGATATTATTTCATTTAATTTTTTTCAACAACCTTGAAAGGTGTGTATTTTAATACTCACTTTTAAGGTCAAATAAATTTTCCAGGTAGGGGAGCCAGTCTATTCACTCTGAAACAGTGCTTACTTCTCTTTAAATCTCTGCCTGCACAATACCCCACGACCACCACCACCACCACGAAAAATGACAAGAATAGCAGTGACGCCAGAGCATCCCCACCGCAGGACAGCACCTGCAGCAAGACCGCACCCGACCTGTAAACACACAGTCTCAGGCAGCCAGGAGCTAGACCAGGAGCTAGACCAGAGCCTAAGGGGCTCTGGTTGATGGAATCCATCACCTGGCCACAAAGTACTCTGTGCAGAACAGAAGTGGGAGAGGGTTACAATGCAGCATGCTCTCCTCGGGGGGCTTGCAAACTAGAGAGAAAATTAAGACTTAGGGAGAGCACGCATTACATAATGTTGCTGCCTATACAGGGCTGACAGCAAAAACATCTATAAGTTTACCAAGGAGCCCCGAATGTCCTCCTTAACTCCTGTCCTGGAAAAAAAAATCTGTTTAAATATAATTCATATAACAAGCATTTAATATGATTTATCCTAACATGTCCATTGCATAGTAAACATTTAGTAAGTATTTGCTGGATGAATGAATAAATGAGGTCATTACTAGTACCTTTGATGAAAAGGAAAAGTTGAATAGCAAAGAACTTTGTAGTGGGCCTTTAGCACTGTCTGAAGAAAAAAAGGTACAACACAGTAGCCCCTTCCCATTCTGGAAACGGGCCTAAGTTTGGAATATCGCCGTGGTCACAATTTCCCTCCTGAAATGCACTTGGACAGACAGCAAACCCAGGCTGAGAAGTGAATACTGAATAGCTGTTTCTAGGTCCGGCCACCAGCTAAGGGCGCCACGCCAGCCCAACAGCAACGCCTCAGATTTGTAAATTAATGTGACTCACGGAAGTTCGGATACACTAAGAATCAAAATCAGAAATGGCTAATCGAGCAACACCACGTGTACTTGAAAAAGTTTATGTTAATGTTTTATAATCATTGGGATTAAAATAGTAACTTCTTCAAAATCTCCTGAAGAACCAATCAAGAGGAAGAATCTATTTTTGTCCCTCCGCCCACGCCCCACAGTCCAGAGGAGGGCCCCTCACTCGCTCCAGCGGGGGAACACTACCCTGGATGAAGAGGCTGAGCGGGCAGCATGCCCGCCTGTAAGGGAAATCGTCCCACATGGTATCGTGGGGCATAAAGAATCCATTCTTCCCGAATGCCTGGAAAAAATCTGAAATTAAGTAAGATTTAAATGTCTGCATTGCCATACAGATAATAATACATGGTATTATTATCTGAATTTCTCGACTTGTACTTACTCAAACACTGACATTTTTAATTGTGTAGTTCTTCTACTTAACAGCAACCTTTTGAATTTTAATCAAGTTAGCTAAAGTACATGAGAATTTACTCAGTTCTCTTTTGTCAATAAACATAACAAGTGTCCTCAATTCCAGTATCAAATATTCATTGATTGTTTTAATGCTGAATAGCAAGCTTCAGGAAAGATCACTAGTGGATATCACTAGTGGAGATCACTAGTAGATCACTAGTGGACATTGCCCTCTGTTCATTCCTTATGGGTGATGTCTAGTGGCATCCACTCTTATAAAATGACCTCTAAACACGAGAATGAGCTCAACCAAATTCAAAAAGTGGGTTATCCAACAAAACATGGTATACACATACAAGGGAATAGTATTCAGCCTCCTTAATAAAAGAATAAAATAAGGCGCACCCTATAACCTGGGTGAACCTTGAAGGCACTATGCTGAGCGAAATAAGTAAGTCAGGCATAGAAGGACAAAGGCTGTATGATTCCACTTGGAGGGAGCACCTAGAACAGGCAAATTCATAAAGACAGGAAGTAGAACAGAAGTTACCAGGGTCTGGGGGAGGGGGAGCAGACAGGGAGTCACTGTTTGGTGGATACAGTTTCCACCCGGAATGAAGACAAGTTCTAGAAATGGAGAGGGGAGACGGCTGGACAACGCTGTGAATGTACTTGATGCCGCTGGGTTGGTTACAGTGGTAAAAATGTACCATTAAACTATTATGTCTACTTTACACAACAAAAAAAGTGGGTTATCCAAATCAAGGATAGTTACAAATGATGCAGCATTTTGTTGTACCCTATATATATTTGATTTGTTTGTTTATAAAGCAAGCCAAGGATTGTGAAGAGAAGAAACAATTTGAACACAGTCCCCAATCTAAGAAACTTGAGGAGTAAAAGAAATCTAGACAACTAACAATGTACATCCTACAGAAGAGACACAGATCTCTGGATCTGTGAACCGAGAATAACGGAGAGCACAAAGCTATGAATTCTAGAACAATGTCTGGAAGTTATATTCACCAGAATGTCCTTTGTGGTTATCTCTAGGAGATGAGATTTTTCAGTGATTTTTTTTATGTTCTTTGTACTTTTGAGGTACATTTAACATCATAATAATTATGCATCATTTAACAGAAACAACCCAGTTAGAACATAAAAAGTGATAAAGACACTGGACAATGAAGCCCATTCTGTCTGTCCTCTTCCTTGATTTTGTCTGGCGTCAACCACTTGGGCACGCCCCACTCGACACTCGGTGTTCACTGGTTCATTAACATGGAAGCCTTGGATCCCTACCCAGGGGAGAGTCTTCCAAGTATAACAGGGAAGTAAAATCATTTCCAGGATTTTCCTTTCTTTCCTTTTAAACATAGATAAATATACAGCCTCATTCCAAAATATGGCCAAGTTCTGTAGAAAACCTGATCCTTGATTAATCTGATTAATCTCAAATAATAAAAGCTGTGGCAAAGGCCTTGTGAGGGGATGATGGCTGTCTTACTACAAAATGGCCAAAAGCCTCCAGCAGCCTAACAGAGGACAAGACACTGTTATAAGTAATAACCCTTATTGGTATCAGTTTCTGTGAGTAAATTTTTGGTCATCTTTAAATGATGGCAAGGGTAAAGATACAGCATCATTATTATATAATCCCTATGTGGACCAATTAAGATACTGAATCATTATTATATAATACCTTTGCAGACCAATTAAGATCATTATTATATAACACTTTTGTGGACCAACTGAGATTTGGTCAACCAAAAATTTTTAGGAGGAAGAACATTCATTAGAGACTTTCGGATGACTTTGAAGCCCACAGAAGGTATCTATCATTCAACATTGCTCAGTGGTGGCTCCCCCTTTGCCTTCAGGATCAAGTTCAAACTCATTAGCCTGGCAGCCGAGGTCCTTCATAACCTGGCCCTGAATGTTCTCCAGCCTCATCCCCCACCACACTCCTCCTGCTACTTCCCTCTGGCAACAACCAGCAGGTCCAGACTGACTCCCCCACTGCAGCACCACTGCACAGGTTATCTGCTCCCCTGGAATATGCCCCGCCTCTCCCCTTTCCTTCTGCTTAGATAACTCTGACTCCCTCTTCAAGGCTCAGGCCAAGTGTTTGACTCTCTTGGTTCGCTTTTCTATTAAAACTTTTATCTGAGCCTCCCAGCTCCTGGCCCCTGGCCCCACTACACTGCCCATCCAACCCCTATGAGAAACTCACTGAGCCTTATTCACCCAGATGTCCCAGTACCCTAGGCCACACACAGGGCAAGCACAAAGTAAATACATGTTTTTGAACACGAGTCATGTGGCTGAACTGATGACTCTCCCTGTTAAGAGGGACGACTACTGCCACGGAGTCCGCTTTGCTAACCGGTTGCCCCAGGCAGCAACAGATTCAGATCGCAACAAAACGTGCAAAAAGGCCAGCTCTGCACTCACCATGGCCATCCGCCCAGTGGCCCAACTGCGTGCTTTCCCTTACTGAGGACTCAAAGTTGCACAGAAGAGAAGAGGCGCTCCGCCTGCCTCCGCCTACCGCTGGGGAAGTAAGACAGAGGAGTGAGGGAGTCTCCGTGTGGTCAGGAACCAGCGAGCCCAGCCCCAGAGGACAGACCTGACCACAAGTTGCCATCGCTCTTTATAGGAAATGCCTGGCAGCCTTCACACCCCTAGAATGTTCTGGCACAATTACTGGGCTTACCCTCAAGATCTAGAAGGTTACAGATCTTTTGAAATCACCAATGACCAACACATTGCAACTAGGAGTTCATCCAGTGGGTGGTGGGGACTTGCATCAAAGCCTCTTAGCTCAAATTTTATAGTTTCTTTCAGTCTTACAACTTAGTATCTCTATTTAATCATAAACTGAATTATCTCTCAAAATAACAAATATTCGCTACCTTTCTAAATAATAAAATACATTTTCCCACCACATAAACCAGTAGCTTTATTTTTATGCTAGCACTGATGTGAAATTACATGTCATGAATTATTCATGTCATCCAATTTAATTCAATTATTTTTACTGAATTCATATCTAATCCATAAAAATGTTCAACTCGAAAAAAATAATCTCTGTACCCTTGAATAATAGATTTCTTACAAAATTTCAGGAACTATAAGTGGATCTTTGGTTTGAAATGGCAAGGCGTATTATCATTGTAATGATGAAAATAATTTTAATTATTTAACCATATATTCTGTTCTATTTACTGACTGATGTCTCATAAAGGAAAACTTACTTTGTATCACAGGAGCAAGAAGTGAGTCTTAGTTCCAATTATGGCACCAAAGTAATGTTTAGATTTTCCACACGACTCACAAGTATAGCAGGTAGATGCCCCCTCAAATGATAGCAGATACCCTGTCCAATAAAAGCATACATCTTGTGCTTACAGAAGAGATCTTATTTTCCGCATAGAAATAAGGAGGGAAAATCATTGTTCCCTCCCTTAGTGAATAACCCTTTGAGGCTCGTAACTCCTACCTACCAACACCCATGAAACCATTTCCACTCAGTCAATGGCGTGGCCAACTGTCTCCCTATCTCCCTCTCCCTCCCAAATCCTGGCACCACTGGGGGTCATCTCAATGTCCCCAGAGAAGGCATTAGAACTCCCTTGCCTCAAAGTTCCTATGTCTTCAGTTCCATCGACCTTCACCACCACTACGCTCACACCACCCACCTCCACACCAACACTCAAGCCAAAAACACCCCTCTCCCTGTGGTCCCAAAGGCCAAGGACCAGTTCTTGGACTGGTCAGCAGCTCAGAACTTCCTCACAGAACTAATACAGCCTCACAGGACTTCCCCTCTCACCACACTTGCTCTCTAATCTCTTCAAGACTTCCAGCCCCTCGGCCCCACTACATTCTCTGCATTAACTTACATTCTAATAAGACTATACATCACCATTCACCATTTAAGTCACTTTTTACAAAAACAGCTGGTAGTCTTTTTTTTATATAGCCCTATTATGCCACGCATTCATAAGGAACAGGTTCCAGCAGCCCAGGCTCTTTTCCACTGGTTTTCATGAGCTGGGCTTCTCTGGATGGAAAAGGCTGGTCCTTCAGTTGAACCCAGGTACATCTCTCTTTGGCTTCCTTTTTTTCTGATTATGTTCATGAGTTTCGAGAAGCTATCTCGGCTCTCAGAGTGCTTTAATGTGTTCAATACGTACTTTAACATTCTTGGCAATAATCGTGCCCTTGTTTGTTTACGACAACGCCAACAGCACGCTGGGTCCACTGTACATTCTTCCCATTTGTCCGTGGGAACATTTGTGGGCATTCCTTTTTGAACAGCGCCCATTCCCTTGACGCCCACAGTACCACCTTTCCTGTACACTCACATGTATGCTGCCGAAGGAACAACTCCATGTGTTCTAAAAGGCCTGGAGAACACAGAGCAGGTATCTTTCCTCTTTCCCTTTTTGATCATTATTGATAAATTACAAGAATTCCAAATGAAAGGCTTAAATCACTCTTAGCTCCAACCTCCCTCTGTCTTTTCCCTGTAAACTTCTGTCACACATGCCCACAAAATCCCGCACCAGGGTCACTACAAGCAAGTGTTTTGAACTGAAATGAACAAAATTGAATTGAAGTAATACTGGTTAAAACATATAAGAATCCAAAAGGTTTTAAATGCATTTTCTGTGTGACTGAGCCATACACGGAAAGGTAGGTCTTTAACCCTTGGTGTCACTACCCCCTTATGCACACTCCATGGTGCTAGTGTCAGAAAACAGACACCAAAGAGCATATTACAAATCTTAAACAGTGTGGCATCTCTTTCAATTAACGGAGAAAGTTCTCCTTGACCACCCCACAGAAATCCCACACCCTTCCTGTTTAGTACAATTACAGGCTCACTGTTTCCAACCACAGCAGAGCTGTTAATGTTGCTGAATATTACTTTCATCTTATGCCTAATAAGTTCCTCAGCTGGATATTCTGTTTGCTCTTTCCGAACCACTCTCCACTCTTCTCCACCCTATTTGTGCCCTGTATGGACTCTGCATCAATGGGCTCCCTTGATTTGGGGCTCCTGGCTGGGTTCGGCCAATGAGAGGCACTGGTGGGAGACTGGATGGCACAGAAGCTAGCTGGGCATGGATTCCCTGACCGTCTCTCCCTGGCAGGCCGCAGTTTGGCAGTGGTTGTGTTTCTCTGCTGAAGGCCACAGTTCCTGCAGGGTGATGCTCTCTTACAGCCCAGGTTCCATTCTCATCATTCCCTTGTCTTGCTCCCTTGGCTCCAGAAGTGGTAAAGTTGTTGCTACCTCCTGGGTGCTCTGGTGGTTTCTTTTAAGTCTGCCCACACCTCTGTCAATAGTGCCTTCATTCAGCTTTCTCCAATCATCCTTGAGTCTATTTCTGCCAGGAGCCTGACCAAGGGAGTCCCTTTGTCCAGCAGGCACAGAGATAATTCCAAGACTTTACTGTTCTCAGTATTCTCTCCAAGGCCAAGATTCTGGGGAGTCTTCCCCTCAACCCCATCTCCTCTCCTACCCTAAATCTATTCTTTTTTTCAAGTACTTAGTAAGCTTTTTATTTTTTATTGAAGTTAATGGGGTGACACTGGTTAGTAAAACCATACAGCTCCAGTGTACAGTTCGGTAACACATTATTTGCATACTGCACTGTGTGCTCACCACCCAAAGTCAAGTCTCCTTCCGCCACCATTTACCACCCCCCCTTTGCCCTCTTCCACCTCCCCTCACCCACCTTTCCCTCTGGCAATCACCATACTGTAGTCTGTGCCCTTTTTTTTCTTTGCTTAATCCCTTCACCTTTTTACCCAGCTCCCAACCCCCATCCCTTCTGACAGCTGTCAGTCTGTTCTCTGAATCTGTGAGTCTGTTCCTGCTTTGTTAGTTTATTTTGTTCATTAGATTCCACATGTAAGTGAACTCATACAGTGTTTGCCTTTCTCTCACTGGTTTATTTCACTTAGCATAATACTGTCCAGGTTCATCCATGCTATCACAAAAGGTAAGATTTTCTTCTTTTGTACAACTGAATACCATTTCATTATGTAAATGTACCACAGCTTTTTCATCCACTCATCTGCTGATGGGCGTTTGGGCTGCTTCCAAATCTTGGCTATTGTAAATAATGCTGCAGTGAACATCGGGGTGCACATATTCTTTTGAATTAGTATTTCAGGTTTCTTCAGATATATTCCCATTAGTGGAATCGCTGGGTCATTGGGCAGTTCCATTTTTAATTTTTTGAGGAAACTCCATATTGTTTTCCACAATTGTTGCACCAATCTGCATTCCCACCAACAGTGCACTAGGGTTCCCTTTTCTCCGCATCCTTACTAGCCCCTGTTGTTTGTTGATTTATTGATGATAGCCATTCTTACAGGTGTGAGGTGATATCTCAATGTGGTTTTAATTTGCATTTTTCTGATGATTAGCGATGGTGTACATCTTTTCATATGTCTATTGGCCACCTGTACCTCCTTTTTAGAGAAGTGTCCATTCAGGTCTTTTGCCCGTTTTTAATTGGATTGTTTGTTTTCTTGGTGTTGAGTTGTACAAGTTTCTTATAAAATGGAAATTAACCATTTGTCAGATGTATCACTGGGGAATATGCTCTTCCTTTCAGCAGACTGTCTTTTCATTTTGTTGATGCATTCCTTTCCTATGCAAAAGCTTTTTAGTTTAATGTAGTCCCATTTGTTTATTTTTTTCTGTTTCCCTTACCCAAGGAGATATATTAGAAAAAATATTGCTATAAAAAATGTCTGACACTTTACTGTCTATGTTTTCTTCTAGGATTTTTATGGTTTCATAAGTTACATTTAAGTCTTTAATCCATCTAAAGTTTATTCTTTTGTGTGGTGTTAGGAGGTGGTCTAGTTTCATTTTTTTTGCATTAAAGTAGCAGGATACAAAATTGATATTCAGAAATCAGTGACATTTTTATACACCAATAATGAACTATCAGAAATAGAAACTAAGAAAACAATCCCATTTACAATTGCAACAAAAATAATAATAATAATAAGGTACCTAGGAATAAATTTAACCATGGAATAAAAGACCTGTACTCAGAAAATTGTCAGACATTGAAAAAAGAAATTGAGGAAGACACAAATAAGTGGGAGCATATACCATGTCCATGGATAGGAAGAATGAACTTCATTATAATGTCCACAAAACCCAAAGCAATCTATAGATCCCTATTAAAATACCAGTGACGTATCTCACAGAACTAGAACATATATTCCAAAAATTTATATGGAATCACAAAGACCCTGAATAATGTTGAGAGAAAAAAGAACAAAATTGTAAGTATTGTGTTACCTAATAGCAAACTCTTATATGAGCCCATAGAAATCAAAACAGCACAGTACTGGCATTAAAACAGGCCTATAAATCAATCGAATGAAACAGAGAGCCCAGAAATAAACTTATGCTTTTATGGTCAATTCATATTTGACTAAAGAGACAAGAACATACGAAGGAGTAATACAAAGTCTACTCGATAATTGGTGTTGGATCAATTGGACAGATACCTAAG